TCAGATCTACAGAGTCAGAAGGAAATCCTTGGATCATCAGTGAAATAATACCTTGAAAAACTGACATGGCTAAGGCTTCTGTTTTGCATTTTTGTTCACATGCAGGTCCCTGCTGCCAGGCTGGACACCAGGCCCACAGCCTCAGGAGGAATCCCACTCCTCCCTCAGCAGTGCAGGACAGCGGCAGAAATGCAGCAGCTCCTTCCAAGCAAAACCCGGGGTCAGATGGCTGTTCACAAACCACTAACCTGCAAGGAAGTAAATAAAAAGAAGATAAAGAAGACAGAAGAAATTTTGCTTTCAGCTTTCCCTACTAAAAAGGACAGGCTTTCTGTCTGTGCTCATGACCCTGTGCAAAGCCTGTCCGTCCTGGGGAAGATGTGGCACTTTGCCCTGGGTGACAAGCAGAAGGGTGACTGACGTGCTTGCTTCTAGCCCAGCTCAGGCTCAGCCTGGGCCTGCACCACCTTTCACAGCAGCTTGCTGTTACCGGTGCCCTTTCTAGGCAGCTCTCCTTGCATAGTTCACAACACAAGTTTACAATACAACGACTTAAGTCAAATGTATTCATCCAGCAAGTGATCTGCCTTCCACTGACTGATGCACAAAGAGAGTTTCTGGGGGTCCTCTAAGACATGAGGCTTTAAATTCAGAAAAGGTGGCTGTCATGCAGCCTAACGCATAAAATGAGTTAGTAATTAAATGGTTGGCAAGGCTAGCAAGGAGAGCAGGAGAAAGGCTAAAGAAGAAGGATACTACAGAACAGCAGAAATATTCCTTTAAACAACTCGAATCCCGTACTAGCCAGCTGACCAGTCAGTACTTGTCAGCAATTTCACCTGTGCCATGGTTCCCCGTTCTCATCACATCACATCACACTTCCTCACTCCTTCAATAGCAAATTAATTTTCCAGGAGAGCAAATGGAAGATTTGTGCTGAGATAATTAGCTCGCAGAAGCCAAAATTACTTTATGTCAGTTGAGTCGAAACCAGGGAAGGAGTCACCTTGTGCAAGAGGTTGGGCAACTCTCAGACTTTGTGCAAAGCCGACTTTATAAAGCAATACTTCACTCCAGCTGCAACAAATAATGACTCTGGGAGACAAACCTAGTGAAGAATGTTACTGGCAGGAAACAGATCCATGGAGACAGGCAAACTCAGGAAATAAAAAGGCCACCCATGAATAAAATGGATTTTAATCTGATTAAATAAAAAAGAACAGGAAAAAAATCCCTTTAGGGGAAGATAAAGACAGAAAAGATCACTGGGGAAATACTAATGCCTATTCTGCTGCCTTGCTGCATGACCAGGTGCACACGTTTCCCCCTCACCGCCTAAAAGCTCCCTCCGCCCTCCTCAGAGCAGCCCATTGCTGAAATGTGAACCCAGGAGCCAGAGAAGGAGGCAATTACAATTACAACTTCCACAAAATCTGCAATTAAAACAGGTTTAATATCTCTTGAGACTGGAAGCCAATATTTATTTCTGATTGAAGAGAATACTTTGACCACTACAAGCCACTTACCACTTACACAACTATCTGTCAAATTCTTTATTTTCAGTTATTTGCATTTTGAGGTCCTTACCATGACTCCCTAATTTATAAGCTTACAAGTTTTTTGTTTTTTGTTTTTTGTTTTTTTTTGAAAAGAAGTCTTGGCTTGAACAATTTTAGATCTGCTTATTCAGATATAATCAGTATTTTTTCCATCACAATCTTTAAGCAACATAATACTTTTAATGATAATTTTTAATTAGGCATTGAGAAAGCCAAAGGCAAAGTGGCATTTATATGCTCCAAGATCAAGCTGGGAGGGGCAGCAAGGGGAGGTGGGCTAAAGACACAATACATAAAAAAGTTTCCTTGCATGGGCGAGTGCCTTTCTTTTACGAATTCATATGTTTGGGGTGAAAATGACTTCTCATCTCCATCTTCCTTTGCACAGCACCAGGAGACACAGCTGATTTCCCACAGATCAGAACAGTATTTTTCAAGCCTAGCATGCATACAATTATTTTAGCTCACCTAGAAATAAACTTCGTTATATGTTGACATCACTGCGACCAACAGCACACAGTGACAGGGTCCGAAGGGGCCTTAAAAGCTGTGACCAGCCCCTGTGGGGCCTCCTCAACACTGCCCAGCCCCAGGACCCATCTTAGCCTGATCTGGGGCATCAGTCCCTGCCCCACAGCACTGTAGCAATGCTGGGCTCCAGCCCCATCATGTCCCTGCCCTTCCTTGGACATGGGCCTCACCAAGCCCAGCTCTGACCCACAGGCCTGACCCTGGGCTTGGCCCCTTCCCTACAGCAGACCCCAATGTCCCTGGCTCTCATGTTCCCTCATGGATGGGTCCTGGTGGCAAAGTCTGGACCTATCTTCACCAGGAAGCCCCTGTCGCTGCTGGTCCCCAGAGAGCCACCAGTCCTGCATCACCCTGCCAGACACGACATCTACCTGTCATGCAAAGTCTGTAAATTCTGTGGGAGGCCCCTCTCAGGTTATCCTGCAGTGCTCTTTCTAAAAGTCAGCACCGTAGGGAAGCCTAGAGTTTCCCGGGGAATCCTTAGCACCATTTTCTTTAAGAGGACAAGGCTCTGTCCAGGTTGCTTTTCTCTTCATTATATGAGGGACAGGCTCAAGAGTAGACGCAACTGGTCATTACGGGCAAAACTGTTTTTATGTGGCAAAGTTATATAGCTTTATGGACCAGAGTAGTAAAGGATCTGTTGCTTGTACTTCCATCTTTGCGCTTCCTTTGGTGCTGCTTTTAGTATTCTGCATCAAGGAAGCTTCTGAAGCAAGCACATTTAATTAAAAAAAAAAGGAAGAAAAGAGCTAGTCGTTAAAGATAGATAGCTTAGAGTAAAAAGCTTGCAAGTTGCTGCAGTCAAGATCCCAGTGTTTACAGTTATTTAAACAAGCCCTTGATCAAACTTTCATAGCTAATAGACATAATGACGCCTGAAAAGGCAGTGTAGTCACACACATAATTTGAGGTAATGAGGTGATCCCAAAACTTCATTCTAAAGCAGAACTTCTCCAATTTCTGTGTGAATCAGCCTGACTTCTCAGGGTGTGAGATGCTGCCTGGGAGGGAAAATACCAAAAAGAGACAGAATGGAGCAGTATGTGGTTTTTATGGGCCTTCATCTGGGCATTTGCTCTGCTAACAAGTTTCTCATCCAGTTTAATACAGCTGGGTAAATCACATGTAAATCTGCATTTTACACTTTTGAAAAGTTTGTCAGGGCTCCACGTACGAACGCTTGTGGAAGCAAGTTGAAGTCCTCATGCAGGAGGATCTGGTTAGACACAGTAGAGCATGAAGTGTGAGGGGAGGAACAAAGCAATTCCAGGTAAATGTTTGCACTTAGTGCTAAGAGGATATTAGTGCTTATTTACAATTCAAACTGTATTGAGCGCTCGCACCTTCAGTCTATACTCTGATGGATGATTTTGTTGGTTGTTTTCTTGCAGAAGTTAGAAAAAGAAAGATTGGTTTGTAAGCCCCAAAGAGGCAAACTATTTGGCCATTTCTTTTTATAAGAATGGTATCTTCTAAACCAGAATAGACTTCTGTGGTCATACAGAATACATACAATGTCCAAAACAAAACTGAACATCCTGAGCAACCCACTCTAAGTGGAGCCTGACTGAGCAGAGGGTTGGACCCAGTTGATCCCCACAGGTCCCTGTCAGCCCCAAGTATTTTGTGACTCTGTGAAAGGAAATGACAGAGAAGAAAAGGAAGGAATTACAAGCACTAGTCATGGAATCAGAAGAGATGAGATGCTTGGTCTCTTAAATACTGGAAGTAGCTGAACCAAGATCATTGTGAAAACAATTTAATGATGTGTCGTCATCAAAAAGGAGAAAAGAACTCCTCTCCTAAACTAGTACAGACACTCCGCAAAAGGGCAGCCTGGGGAAGGCTAATGATCCTTATACATGGCCACAAGTTTGCATCTCATTCCTTGTTCTCCCTTCTTCATTCAAAAACCAAGGATTGCAATTAATCAAGATCCCAACGATGCAAGGAAACAGTGCAGCGCATTAAGCTTTGTACAGGATGTGAATCCTAATCTTACAACACTAAGCACGTGGTGGCCAAGTGGTTCAAGTGTCTCACTGCAATTGCAATCACGCCTCTGGCAAACTCTTCCTACAGGCTGTAGGACGGCCCTTTCCTGCAGCTCATCACACAGGTTGGACAGGTGGTGGTGGCTGGAGGACAGTGACGTTGCTCTTAGCTCTGCATCTGGGGTTAGCTCCTTCCATGGGAGGCTGGGCAGGGACTGTAGCAACACCAGAGACCAGGTGGTGCTTTTGAATCCGGTCAGAGAGGCAGCCCTGGGATTAGAGAGCTCCCGCTTGTTAGGGTATCTACCCAAGAAAGTACTTATTCCTTTTGAGCAGGCAGGGACACACTATTCCCTCATCCACAGGGTCACCTCGGGGAAAACCCCATTTGCTGTGAAGTGAAGGATATCATTTAGGGACAGCCAGCAGCATGCTCTGCCAGGGGCTGGGAAAGCCAGATCTGCATTCCCTGCAGGACTGGAGAGCGGCAGGTGGAGGGGAAACGGGGCGGATATGACTGTGTCCCAGCACAAGCCACCATCCATGTTGGAGACCTGTCCAACGACGGCAGCACCCAAGCCGGGGTGACCCCTCAGTGCTCCCCGCTTGCTGGGCACGACCACCGCACCCCGCCAGCTCCCCTTGGACACCCTCCACCCCTCCAACCGCTTTAACCCTTCCAAAATGTCCCCTCCCCGCAGGCCTCTCCCACCGCGCCAATCCACCCTCATTTTGGGGTGCACATTTTTCACTTTAGAAGGGTCTTCAACCCCCTGCAAGGCGAGAGGGGCTCGTGCTGCCGCTCCCTGGGGCCGAGCGGGAGGCGCCGCTCGCGGGGGGCGGCTCCCGCCCAACGGCCGCCCCAAACGGCCGCTCAACGGCCGCCCAACGGCCGCCGGGGAGCAGTTGGCGGCCGCCAGCAGAGGTGGCAGGTGTGTGGGGAAGAGTCCTGCGCGTTATTATTATTATTTCTTTCTCTTCAGCCGAGAGAGGGAGTAAGGGGGGAAAAAAATCAGCGGTTCAACTGTTAATTTTACTACTGTGAGGAGAACTAGAGGAACCTATTCATTTATTTGTTTACATCTTTTCCCTCCTCCTCCGATGGTCCCCTCTAAGTGGAACAGCCCTATGGAACTTTCTCACAGTTTTTTTTTTTTTTTTTTTTACTGAGACTTTTTAAAACTTTTTTCTTTTCTTTGGCAGCACTTGAAAGGCGTTCGCCACCTACAGACCACACTGCTAAAATAGAGGTTGATGTATTTACACCTCTCCGGTTATAGTTGGAAGGGAGATGCTCGAGGTGCTTGCCCATCTGCTGCAAAAACAACCAGGTTAGTACCTAAAATAAATGGGTCTGATGTTTGAAGGAACTTGGAAAAAGGAATCTCAGCGTATAATGGGCACTGGTGTTGAAACGTGTATATTTAGCTTAGACAAACTCTAAATGCTGATGGTAAGAAGATGATTTTCCTTCGATTTTCAGTTTGCCTTTGTATATTGGCATTCCTTTGGCTTGAAGGTGTAGAAAATGATCCTCTGGTGTATTCCTTTGTGGTCCACTGTATTTAGTTTGAGCGGGTGTGAAAATTGCATGCATTTATGCTATTTCTTGCTTCAGGATGTTGCTTTAGTAATACAATGCAGCTGCTTTTTCAATTTTATCTATTAAGAACTTCTTTTTAAAGTTTTTGTTGGCTTTTTGCCAACAAATCCAGCAGCCTAAGAGTATATTATTTATAATCCTGCCTCTCGTTAAGTCACTGGTTGAACAAACTTCTCCATATCTCTACAGATTTCAGTGAATGGAGAGTCTTCCTGTGTTCCCTATTACCCATTTTTCCTATTACTGGTGTTCCCTAGCATATGTATGAGACTTAAGTGAGTGTAGCCAAAGGTAGAATACAGCCCTATTCTTCTGATGCAGTTATGTAAAGCCTTGAAGCATCTTGCACAATTCAGACAAGCTGGATGTCAGCGATGAGATGTCTTCAGGAGGGCATGGAGTGAAAGGTGTCCTGACACAATGGCAGCTGCTTAAATCAGGATTTATGGCTTATTCTCTGTTGAAATGCTGTTGTTTGCCAAGGTTGTGTGAAGAATGTCCTCCCTGCCAAACAGATTCTTGAAAAGTGAAGCCTCACCGAAGAAGCCAAATCCCAGCACCAGAGAAGCAGATAAGAACTCCAAGAAGCCAAGCTCACAGTTTTCCCTGATAAAAGGATGTAGCAGAAAATATTTCAGCCAGTTAGCATGGTGTTTTTAAGTGCTAATCATTAATATTGATTATTGCTATGCTGTTTAGTAAAGCTTTAGTTTTTCAAAGACTCATTTGCCCTGAGCTTTTGCTCTTTGAAAATGATTTTTCCTGCACTGAAAGTCAGTGCTTTGATCCAGGAGTGAATGGTATATATTAGGTTATGTGGGTATACTTTTTCAGTTGCCTCCCAATTATCGATAATCCTGTGGCCATGGAAAGTGTGTATAGATTTGCAAGCTAAAGAAGAATGATTTCTTTTTCACCCAAAGACAAGTATTTTATCAAGGTGGTTATTCTTAGATGTATAGTTAAAATCTGCCGTTTCTCTTTGAAAATTACTTGATCTTTGTGAATTCTTTCGATTAGTGTGCTCTGACGTCATCCTCAGATTCCAGTGAGAATCCTTTTTAGATGTTAACATTTTTTTCTAATAGATTTCATTCAATTTATTTTTACCGTCTTTCATGTACTGTGTACACTGTGTTTGAATGCCCCAGGAGAGTAAAGCGATGGACAGCAGTATATTAATCATCACTGTAGCTGGGCAGCAGCCTAATAATCATCTCACAGATGTCTGATAATTAAGATAATGAAGACAATGGAAAGGATGGTGATGAAAGAGTAGACTGTCAGGAAACAAAGAGCTGAAAATGGATTGGGATTGGTCTAATTAGCATTAAAAATCACATTCTGGATGCAAGACGTGCCAGGCTGAAATGTATTTTCAGAAGCTGATCTGAGTTAGATTTTGCAACAGAAATTAGAGAAGAAAGAAGCACCAAGTCACTCAGTGCTTTTGAATGTGAGCGTAGATATTGGGCCAGGGTTACAAAGGTTGAAGTACTCATGGGGTTTAGAATCTGGAAGTTGTGTTTTAAAGCATTTGTTCTGCCTGTCTTCCTCTGCGCCTTGGCTCAGGTTGAAGCCTAAGGATGCTGAGCATGCATTGCAGGTTCAGCAAAGCTGACTTAGGCTCTTGTCATAAAGAGCAGACTGCCTTTTACTTCTTGTGCTTTGGAGAGGTTGGCACTGGCAATTGCTAGAACAATAGGGTAACGCAGAACAACTACCTATACTCCATCAGGGCACATAAGAATTAGCAGATGAGACTGAGGTTAGCCTGGCATGAGCTCTCCTATTATTTCTATGTCAAAATTACTTTTTTTCTGCAAATGAGAAAGGCGGCAAAGTTCTCTTCTGTGTGTCAACCTTCTGAGCTTCCCATCTCCCAACAGCCCCTTCTTCCTTGTGGAACGTAAGAATATTCAATATCAGAATTTTCAGACTCAGAGGTACTGAAATGCCTTTTTGGAGTGAAGAGCTCCAAGTCTGACCAGGGACAAACAAAAGTAAACGATTAATAGAAATTACACTTTAGAAGTTAATAGAAAAATGCCCACTTTACAGTTTTCATAACAACTTTTGTTCCTTTTAAAGCTACCTGTATTCATTATAGACACTGACCTTACATCTCTGGCAGGAACATCCAGCTATGTTAAACTGCCAGCATCGGGTCTGCACGACTGTGGCTTTGCCTGTGCTCTGTGGGTGTATGGGATGGTGAGCGTGCACTGGCCCCAGCCTGCCTTGTTTCTTGAAGCAAAGGGCAGCACTGAGCCTGCCTCTACATGCAGCACTGGGGAAAATGAGCAGAGTGGCACGGGGCGAGGAGGGGGTGAGATCTGCCTGTCACGAGCATGACAATATAGATGTACCTCTTCTTGATACAGGCAAAGTGGTGATGGCAAAACATCAGGCAGTTCTTGAAGAGAGCACAGAATTTTCTTGTGGCATCGTCTAGTTGATGAAAATTGATTTTATGAATCTCAGTTGATTCAGGGCTTAAGGTTGAGCCTTTTAAGATAGAATGACTGACTACTTCCACACTCCTTAAACATTTCCTTTGTTGTTTCAGGAGTTTCAGGATGCTCACCAAAACGCCAGGTGTTGTTGCACAGGTATTCCTTCTTCTCAGTGTAGTTCTTGTCATCTCTATTGCTGTGATTCAGATAAACCAGCAAAAGAGCCTCTCACCAGGACTTAAGGTAAGTCTTAGAGCACATAAGGAATCATAGAATGCCCAAGGTTGGAAGGGACCTCAGAGGTCATCGAGTCCAATACCCCTGCACACGCAGGGTCACCTAGAGCATGTGGCACAGGGCTGCCACAGGCAGGAACGTGAACAATGTTTTGAATTGGTAATTAATAATAATCTTTCCTGAGCTATATTTTATGTGATGATTCAAAAGAGCTTACAGCCAAAAATTAATATCTCATCATACCTTTGTCATGGGGAAAACTGAAGCTAAGAGAAAAAGAGAACTAGACAAAATCACAAAGTAAGTCATTGACAAAACTGGAAAAGTGTCTCTTGCTTTCCTGACGGCGATGGCTATTAGACACCGTCTTTTGCAAGGCTGAAAAGCCAAAAAAAAAAAAAAAAAAACCCACTTTTTTTGTTTTGTTTTGTTTTTGACTGGGGATTGGAAGTAATTTTAGAATAATTTTGAAGCAGGAGTTGAAATTCTACTCCCAAACACAGATAGGAGGTTTAGGCTGTGATCTTTGCAAACTGCCCTTGTGAATCATAAAGCATTTGGGCTGCAAGCATGCACTTTCTCATTTACTACGTGTTTGGACTTGCTGTGTGTTAGCAGAAGCAAAGGAGCTTCTTGAGGAGGGGCAGAACAAACTGAAAAACTAAAGTATTTCGGAAAACAGGTTCTGTCTTTGGTTCGTGCCGCTAGAGTATGTAGGTGGATTATACAGTGAGAGATGCATATAACTGAAGACAAACCTATAGAAATTAGCCTTTTAGAGATGTGCAATCTGGCATTCTGACTCCTGTATTTTGTCAACTATAAATCTTGTCAGCATATAAATCTTGGCAAATCCTTCTTTAAAATAATTTCTACCTTTCCCTCCTTGTATGTATTAAAACTGCCTCATTCTCAAGTTGACAGTGATGGGCTGATGGCTCATTCCTCTTCATGGGATTGTGAACAACTTCGCTTTGTCTAGATTATTTACTGTACAATGGGCAAAAGGCTGTATTCTGATAATTATTCTGTGTGCTTATGTGGCAGGGTGTGTGTTACATGGTAGGGTGTGTGCTCTAATGTCTGTTACAGCAACCTTACATGCTGCCAGCTTTGATGCAAGGCAAGACCAGACTGATGTGCAGGCTAAGGCCTGAAGTGTGTATTTGGTTAAAAATAAAATAAAAATGACAATAACATGATAAAAATAGCTTCTTCTTCTTGTCCTTCTCCATCTGGCTGTTCCCTGTGAAACCAAAATTGTAGGATAACTAGAGTTTGTGTTAGCTGTGGCATAATAGCTCCTTCCAGGACACAGATTGAGAGCATCCAGATTCATTCTGCTGTGGTACAAGAGATACATTTTCTGCTTTGCCACTGATGTTTGTATGTTGGTTGGTATGTTGGTATTTTGGTTCCTTGGTAGTTGAGTTATCTGAAGATTCAGCTACTAATTTGCTTCCATGAATCCAAATGCCTGAGGCTGAGGCATTGAAAGAGTTTGTGACTCTTTGAAATACTGGAAATTGAGAAGAGGGATGAAGGGAGCGCAAATATCCTTTAGCAATAAGGCTTGTGAAGAAGTCCAGCGTTGTAAATGATACAATGAGCCTTCATATCTGATGACAAAATTCCTGCTTGTTCGCAGAAGCTTTGTTAACCCTAGAGAAAAAAACAGAAACATGTTTTTGTGTTTCTTTAACCCGTCTCTTTTACCAGGTGCCACAGTTTTCTAAATGCAAACTTAGCACATGCAAAGGAGCACACTTTGTTTTGCTCTCAGGAACAGTTTTCCTTGCTGACCAATGTTGACTTGACTAAAGGCATTACAAACCTATATAGTTTGAGTATGAACTTGAGTATGTTTCTAGCACAGAAGTACTTTGGCTGTACATCCTTGTTCTAACTGGTAGAGCTGGTTAGCTTCCTCTGGCAGTTTTCCAAGGTGATTGCAAGGCAGATGAGCTGTCCTGACTGTGCCTTCTTTGAGAGTTTGCAGCTGTATGTCCTCCTATGGCTATGGTATTCAAGCCAAAGAGGTCATTGCATCTGGGGCTTGTTCCAGCTTCCCTGCTGAGATTACTGCTCTTCAAGGTGTACTTACAAAGCAGTTTATATGAATATCTCATACCCACTTTGGCCACAGCTAGACTGGTTGTGTTGAACAGCAAAAATCTTCACCTGAAAGAATTGAGAAGTGCTTACACAAGCGGTTGTATAAGTGGAGGGAGGGGGACGCTCCTGCAGGGAAAGGAGAAAGAGTTGGTGGGGTCCAGCTGTTTCTGCAGTCAGCCCAGCCAGGAAATGATGTGTGAATGTAGTTCATGTTTAGAGACACAGAGTCTGGTTTATCCTTGTCTTGCTCTTTATTTAGCTTCTGATAAGTGTGTGCAGTAATCATAGCAGCCTGCCAAGAAGCAAAATGGTACACTTACTTTGTGCTGCAGGCAATATGGTCACTTCAGTGCTGGAGAAACCCTGAGCAACAGTAAAAGCCATCCAATTACCTATAGGGAAAAAAAAAAAAAGCTGTATTTTACTTTAAGTCACTTTTCTTTTTCAGCTTATTCTTAGTGTCAAGAAATAGAATTCTGACTTTTTTTTCTGGATTAATTTTGCTTCCCTGTCTTCTCGTAGTCCTTTGACTAGCCAATGCAATTTGATATTAGGAAATCCCCAGGCCTTTGTGTCTAAGGGTGATTGACTAGAGATGATGGAGATGTGCATGGAAAAATTGAAACAGAAGGGAAAGGAGGGAGAAAAAGTTATTTTGTTCTTCAGTACCTGCAGGTCCAGGATAAGTGTTTTCCTCTGCTCTCTTTCCCCCTCATTGCATTTTAAAGCAGGAGAGCATGGTTGGACATTTAAGGGCAGCCAAAGGTGATCTAACTCACAGTTTGGACTGTAATGTAGAGGTCACTAGAACATTCTGGTTCAACCAGCTTAGCTTTTATTAGGTAGCACCTAAGACAAGGCAAGTAGAATTCTCTCTCCCTCTTGAAATGCTGCATCTTTATAGTTTCTCTTATTTTTTATTAAAGACACATCTTTTTTTAAAGGGAGCAAGAGGCTACAGGAAAAATAAGAGGAGGGAACTAAAGTTTTTAGTTATAAACTGGTTCAGATAAACATACCACTGCTCTTTGGCTTGGAACTCTGTTACTTATTGGGAAGGGGGATGGAGATAGGTCAGAAAGATCCACAGGTTAGCTGAGATAAATGTTCTGGTGGCATACTTCCATAATCTTCCAGGTCTATGTGGGAACAATACTTTGCACTAGAAATAGCTAAGTTTAAAAGCTTATGCTTGGCACTTTGAGCTGACTGAGACTAGTCTTAATTAAAAGCCTTTGAGTAGATATACCAGTGCTATCTTATGTATTTCCAGAGTGCTCATCTGTGTAAAGCCACTGTGATGTAATATCTTTCCAGGAAGGAGAAGATACTTAAAGCATCTTTGCTAAATCACTGCCTTGATTTGAACTTGATGGTTCAGTGGATTGATAGTATCTGTGGAGCTCTTCACTTTTCAATCGATCATGTTAAGTATGGTCTAGATAAGTATGAAGGAAATCTTCATTATCGAACAGTCCTCAGGGAAAAGATTAGAGATTGTTATTGCTGGTGATTCTTAGGGGGACAGGACCTTGGAGGATTGCAGTGGGAAGATGAGAACTAACAAGGTGTGGAGGCTGAAGCAGGGATCCTTCTCAGTCGGATTTGAGGCTCCACAGGGAGGCAGTGTGATGAAATTTGTAAGCCTGCTGCAGCTGCTCTTACTGCTTCATAGCCAGGTGGAGAATCATTTTTCAGCATTGTCAGGTTCATACTTTTTTTCTGGACATGTGTATTTTTTAAAGTGTGTTTCCTACTAGTAAGATGATCAGGACAGAGGGAAGCAGCTAAACTTACTTTGAGGGAATACAAAGAGGATAAGCAAAATTACTGCTTTCAAAATGCATCAGGCAGTTTGCTTTCCCTATTGCCTTAGTTCTCTGCTGCTGCAAAAGACAGGAAAGAGGCCAGTAGACTGACATGGAGAAACCTATTTTTCAGTCCCATGGAGAGCTCTGTGACCTTGGGCAGCTTACTTAAATATTTCTTATTTATCATTTTAATAAACTTGGGATAATACAGATTTTCTTTCCCCCAGTGTTGAATTGCAATTGCAGTGTTGAATTCTGGCATAGCCTAATTACAGTGGCAAGCTCACAGATAGACTGCCTAAGTCTCTCAGAGGGAGAGTTTTTGGGAAAATTAGAAACGAATCAGACTTGTTTCATCATTCTGCTTGCAGATTATTATACATTTTACCTCATTGTGGCTTTAACAACACCCTTGTGCACCTTTGGATCTAATGCCAGTACTAGGATTAATGTGTCTAGTAAATATACTACGCATTTCCTTTCTAAAGGAAGAAAAGCAAAGAAATACAACTTCATGTGGACCTGTAAGCTGTCACTCTTTATTCCTTTATGTAATGTATTATTCTTTCTTCCCAGTATGGAATAGTGCTCGATGCTGGATCATCTCGGACTACAATTTATGTGTATGAATGGCCAGCAGAAAAAGAAAATGACACAGGAGTAGTAAGCCAAATCTTCAAGTGCAGCGTGGAAGGTGAGCTCAACTGGGATAGTAGTTTTGTTAAGTCTGAATATGTAGGTCTGGCCATTGACTCAGGAAAAACTGTCATTATGCACTGCTAGAGAATGTCTCAGGAGAAGTACCCCAGGCTACTGGCCTTGTTTGTTTCTCTGAGGTTTTGTATTGGTTACTTGTGAAGAGAGGATGCTCAATGAGACTGATTTTTGTTCAGACTCTGATATGGTTCATTATATATTTTACTACTCTGTTGTGGATTGCTGTATGATAACTTCTGAATCTCTCAGTCAAATTCAGTGACATTTGCCTAAGCTTTCAATGTTACCAAAATCTCACACATTTCTTGAAGACAGATGGCCAGGCAGTGGAGAGAAATTCACATTATTAAACATTAGCTGCACCATAAGGAATTTCTGCAGGAAGCCAAGTTTCAGAACTTCTGCCACTCTGATCAAAATGAGGTTTAGATCATCCTCTAAAGATACTGATTTCAGCAGGACTGCTTGTTTAGTTTTCACTGTTTAGTCCAGTGTTTAAGAAAAGGCCATGTTGCATTGTTTCTCTAGCAGGTCAGTTTTGAGCTGTGCCACCTCCAAATTTTAGCAAGGGTCTGTAAAAAGAAGAAAGTCAGTTTTAAAGCAGAACAATCATGAAAGAAATATAAACCTACATGTACAAAGCAGGAACGGACTGGCATGTGCCTGATGGGGTATCCTTACAGGCTGCAGGAGTGACAGCCTACCAACTAAAGCAGGGAATACACTCTTCTTGCTCATGGCGTGAACCGAAAGGAATGTTGCCCTTAGAGTTTTTGCTATGAGAAAAATGCTCAAAGAAGCTAATTGATTCACCTTCTCCAAAAATACCAGAGGAATATTTTGTTTTAACTCCTGTTCTTCCTTGGATTGTTAAGCAAGAGAGAAAAGAGAGAAAAGAGAAACGATGTTAATTGTTCAAATATATCGTGTGCAGCAAGGTGAGACTCATGTGTAGTATGTGGAGGCAAGGAAACCTTTGATATTCTTTGTAGTTGACACACTAACCTTGACAGGGATATCTGTGACTTCAAAAGGCTTCCTGCTGCCTCTTAGATTTCACTAATGATTCCTTGCAGAAAATTCTTTATTGTAGCTCCAGCTGAAGAGAGTGAGCTGTGGAGGTGCCATGGTACCCACAGCAGTGGCAGTAAAGCAAACCAGCCAACTTTGGCCTATGTTGTGGAAGGAGGGGTCCTATATAATTTGCAGGCCAGACAAATTTTACAACCACCATCTTACTTTCTATAGTGTCTGTCAGGAGCAAACCTATTTTCCCTTTGAATGCAGCGCTGCTGTCATTGTGTTGTTATATTGTTACACTGTATGTATGTTACTATATGTAGGTACTACAGGTATATATGTATACACATTCAGCAGCAGGAGAGTAGCTTGGAAATAACTTCTCAGGAACTTGCACAACTGTGTCACTACATATTTTATGCCTTAAGCAATTAAACTTTTCAACCATGCTGTCCTTGTTTACAATTACACAAGGAAAGAGGGAAGCGCTTTCTCTTAACACCTGTTTGCTAATTTGGACTAATTTGTAGTTGGCAAAGCACAGTGAAATCAAATCCGCCTGTTCTCTTATAGGTCCTGGCATATCCAGCTATAAGAATAATCCTGGAGCCATTGCCAAACCTTTTGATGACTGCCTGAATAAAGTCAAGGAGAGAATCCCAGCTCACCTGCATAAAAATACTTCTGCTTATCTGGGGGCTACAGCTGGCATGCGACTGCTGAGGTAGAGTGGAAATGCCTTGAGCTCCAGTGTACAAGTACTAGAGTAGAAGCTTGTGAAACTAGAATGTGAAAATAAGTAGCGAACACTTTTCTGCTCATGGGAATTGCTCATGTCAAAAGAAAATGGAGCCCAGCCAAATTAATGGAGGTTTTGGGGAGGGAAAGCAGGGCTATATGAAAACCTCCTCTCATGCTCTATTGAGAAGCATTTGCTTTACACTGTAGAATTCTTCTCTGTAGAGTTTTTGCTAGCAAGAGTTCTTCTTTCTGTATCTGTGTTTAAGTCCAGCATTATGTAAACAGAGAATATTTGCCCATATCTGAGGGCAGCAAAAGCAGATTAAAGCTAGACACTACAGAACTTTCTGAGTGCAGATGTGTGTAATGTGGCTTTTGAGGCTTGTCTGTGGCTTTAGGCCTGGCACAAACTAGGTGTTTTTGTTTGTTCTGTGGCTAAACAAAGGGGGAAGGAAGATTCCAGGACTGGCTTGGGCAGAGGCTACTATATAAGCACTCAGTTCACCAAAAATAAATATATGTAAGAGAAACAAAATACCCAAGAAATGACATAGTAAAGAATGCAGTTAATTTGCTGTGAGGGAGTTGCATGGGGAAAAAGATACAGCATAGTTGGCTGAACTGTTCCATACAGTAATTTTCCCTTTTAGGTTAAAACAATGTTACATTTTTGTTAGGTGATTGAAAGAATTTTCCTGACTTGCTAGTTGGTGAGCACTAAACCTGCCATTGCCTTTCCAGATGCTCAGTGTCTCATGTTTTGTGAATTGCTTAGGTTGCAAAATGAAACGGCAGCCAGTGAAGTCCTTGCAAGCATTCAAAGCTACTTCAGAGCACAGCCCTTTGAATTTAGGGGTGCACATATCATAACTGGGCCAGAGGAAGGGGTGTATGGATGGATAACAGCCAACTATTTAATGGGCAATTTCTTAGAGGTGTGTGGAAAAACCTGCATGCTTTTCTTTTTGCTCTTATTTTTGTTATAAATGAAAAGTTTTAGAGGAGATGCCTCTTAAAACATCATAGCTGTAACTTCCATTTCCTATTGCAGTATAGAACTTTTTTTAATGGGGGATAGTAATGGAACAAAGCAAATGGATCACAGAATACAATGTGACAGGAATGTGATGTAACAAAGGTAAAACTTGTTGATCCACGGAGAAGAACTCTTCTGTAAATGACAAATCCTTCCAGAGAAAGAGCAGCTACATTGCTTTTAAATATTAGGGAAGAATTAGAGAAATGTTGACTTTGTTTACAGTGATGCCAGTTAAAGATGTTTTTACCCCCCTTTCCCCCCCTTTTTTTTTTGTTGTTACATATGCAGATGGTTGCTGTTTCTGTAGCCCTGCTGGTGTAGGGACTGTGTTGCTTAGGGGTCTCCAAACCATTGGACAAAGTTGGCTTACTTGTCATAAGCAGACAGTGAAGGTCCTTGAGTTGGCGTGGCCAAATGTGCCTCAGCTGAGCCAGAAGTCACTCATGCAGTCTGTTCCAGAACTGCTGAAAAACTGCAGGTTGTGCCTGGCCTAGATCTGGGAGAGGATGTCGGTTAATGGGTCCTTCTGTTTTGTGTGGACAAAACTATTGCGACAGAAAGATCTGCTGCTCATTGAGCTCACAGTAGCAGCATACAGATGCTTCCGATTGGAGAGGGAATAAAGTGTGATGGAAAAAAATACCTTTTTATATATAAATGCTCAGTATAACTTCATTTGTAGTAAAATCAGTACCAGGAAATCAGCAATTGCTCATCTGCATTCATGGCCTTTAGTGTTTACTGCATTTCTTCCAAGTAGCCTTGCTGTTTGGAAAGAAGATTCACCAGACACTTGAGTATTGTACGAAGTCCTGGTTGAGCAGTCGCTGCTTGATTATGGCCATTTATAAGTAGGAATTCGATGCTGGTGATCTGAGTGACAGCTCATGGAGAACATGCTGCTGACTCTCATAAAGTTAAGAAAAATGACTACACGCTCCAGGAGAGCTTTTGCCATTGTATGCATTTCATGCAACAAAGACAACTTCATGAACTTCAAAGTGGTGTCAAACAGCCTTCTGTTATATGAATTTTAATGATCAAAACCTCAACTCCCCTATGGCAGATTCATAAAGATTTTTGAAGGGACTTCAGAATGTTGTAAAGCCAGTTTAGTGTCAGGAACTGTGTGAAGAACTGGATATTGAATATCTCAAGTGGGAGAGAAACTTTTAACCCTTCTTGTGACAATGGGTTGAGGGAAATTTTGCCACTGTGCTGAATTTTTTTGCTGTTAAGGGGACTCTTTCACTGTAAGTTTTTCTTAGGAGTATGTTTGCTAGCCCATAAAGTTTCTTCTCCAGCCATAGACTCTCATATCATATACATTCCTGTCATTGTTCTCAGTAAATGATGCGACAGTAAATATGGAGATGGATAATCATACGAAATAATCTTACAATAATATACTTGGCACCGTGAGCGTGTAGATCAAATACAGATTTGGGGGGCATGTTACAGGATAATAGGGAAGAATGCTAGTTTAATGGGCCAGGCCTATTGTGGTTTCAGTGAAGGAAATGCATAGATTAGAGGTCCGTGTTCTGTTTTAGAACTGAAGGTAGTTTGAGATTATTGTTGATCATTTACTTGCAAATATAAAGCCCTTCATGGAGATTTTGGATAGACTCTTGCTAGTAGAAATTGGTAGAGAGCCTTTAACTTTGATGGAGCTCTTATTTGATATTTACTTCTTTTCTTATTCTTTATCCTGTGTGATCTCTTAATATTCCATTCCTTTTATAATTCTTCTTACCTTGAAACTAGCAAACGTTCATACTAGTTTTGTCCATAGGATAAGTGACTGCTGTCTCCATTTTATGGACAGAGAAGTTAAAAGTTTTGTTCACAACCTCACAAGTACCTAGACTTCAGTTTCCTGCAATCCCCAAAATGCAGATTTTGATCTGGCTAGTTCAGTGCTTTGATCACTGTGCTGCCTTTTCTCTGAGTTCAAAGCTTTACTGTGTTCCTTCCTCCATCTTTCAAGCTCATTTTACTCTGTAAAAATACATCCCTCTTATGTAAAAAAGCTTCTGCATGCTTTTCTCAGCGCAGGGATTTTTTTGGAAAGAGTGAATCAGAAAGAAGGAAAAATACGTTTTAAAAAATAAGTAAAAGGAACAGGAGTGTGAAGTAAGAACAAACAGGTGACATTTCTAATTAGTGGGGGTTTTTTTCCTTTTTTTTTTTTTTTTTTCCTTTCATATGTAGAAAAACCTTTGGAGGACATGGGTCCGTCCTTACAGAAAAGAGACCATGGGTGCACTGGATCTTGGAGGAGCTTCCACTCAAATTTCATTTATTCCAGAGGACTCTCAGGATTACTCCAACAGCACCTTGCAGGTGAAGCTGTATGGCTACGAGTACAATGTCTACACTCACAGCTTCCAGTGTTATGGGCGAGATGAAGCTGAGAAAAGGCTGTTAGCATTGCTGCTCCACGTAAGTTTAACACTCTCTGCTATGCAGCCTTGGTAGGTGTTCACTCTCTGATCAGGTTCTTGGGCTCCTATTTTGCACTTTGGTGGACCTTAGAGCACCCAAAGAGTGCTCTCTTATGCATAGTTGTAGAAAAACACACCTGGGCTTCATGTGAAGATCTTCCTCTTTGCTAAAAAATTCTTGGGGTCTAGGGTGGGTTTTTTATGACTTGACGGATTACTTTTGTATGGTCCAGCTAGCCCTGTGAGTATTTTGCTGATCGTGTCAGCATTTTTTTTTGTGAAAGGAATGTCTGTGAATGACAGTGATGAGCAATGTAACAAGAATATATGCATGTATGGTTTTAAAAACAAAATCCCCGTAGTAAATGTCAGATTAACTCTTTCTGAATAACCTTTATTGCCTCTCCTCAGAAATCTACAGCCAGTTTCAAGGTGGATAATCCGTGTTACCCTCAGAATTATGAGACTGCATTCACCATGAAGTCCTTGTGTGGCAGCCTTTGCACACAGTCTCTGAGGCCAGCAAATTATCACCCAAACCAGCTTGTGAAATTCCATGGCACAGGAGATCCTGCTCTGTGCCAGGAGATGGTGTCTTTACTGTTTAATATCACTGCTTGCAGAGACAGAGATGAATGCCCATTCAATGGGATTCATCAGCCAAAAGTTAAAGGGAATTTTGTGGTAGGTTTGTGAACACAGATGCGAACATCTTTTTGAGCATATCATTTGCTTTTGATTTCCTAGTTCTGAAAATAACAGGTCTTTCATCCTCTCCTATAGGCTTTCTCAGGATTCTACTATACAATTAATGCTTTGAATTTATCTGGGCACTTTTCCCTATCAGACTTCAATTCCAGCATGTGGTTTTTCTGTTCACGGAGCTGGGTCCAGGTGAGGAATTTTTTTTTTTTTTTTTGGTCTCTGTCAAAGGGAGATATGAAAGAGCTTGACATGAAGAAGTATTCAAAACTTTTAACAGGTTGTATCAACCTTTACCTTTGCTTTCCTACTGTGCTTTAAGCTATGCAGTATTTCTGCGATTCTTAACTCTTGAAATAGGTTTGAAGAAACACTCCTCATAATTATAAGCTGGTTTTCCAGCCTGTAGTGAACTGTGACCAAGCAGTGTGTGCATTTCCTTCCTTAAGTTTCTTAGCTTTGTGCAGCTGGAATGTGATAGAGAACATAAGGGGTGGTGGGTGTTGCAACTGAATACACTTGCATGTACATGTATGTATCCTGGCAAATAACAGATTGCTGTGCTAGAAAAATTTAGAAGACTGATAAATCAGGTTGATTTAAACTTTAAAACTCAACTTTGCTAGGCTGACATTCATTAACACAACACATCAATCACACCCATTATCAACATTACACTGTGTATTCAAAACAGATAGTATGTAATGACTGTATCCTATATTAGCAGTGAGTATATACCATGCCCTGGAGCTCATGCAGTGTAATCAGCACAGATGCCTGAGATCCTTGGCAGACTTAGTTGCTGATGTGATTATCGAAGTGGGAAATAGGAACTGAAATGAGCATCTTCCCCTGACCCCCAAATTTGGGATCTCATCCTTTTATAAAACAGTTGAGTTTTTAGGCAGTGCCCAGCTCCTGGATTACATTCTGCTCCGGGAGTGGGCTGTAGCTTCACAGGCTGTAGCAGGAAGCTTTGCTGCTTCTTGAAGCCAAAGCAGTCCAGTCCCAGCTATCATGGTTAGGCTGCTGCAGGGACCAATATGTGAGCATTAGTGAGTTATTTACAGTTCTTCTGTTTTCAGCATAGTATTTAAAGTGTACATCACAACAAGAGACCCCAGGTACTAAGCTCTAGTTCATGCAACAAGTCCACACAAGCTGAGGAGAGGCTTCCAGGCTGTGACAGGGACCTTGCCCAGTTAGCACAAGGCATGTGGCCTGTTACTGTGCATAGTGGTTCAGTACAGAAGTGCATATATATTGCACTATAAAGAAGAGTACTCTAAAGATGTCTTGGATTCAGTTCTCTAAACACTGCTGCAGGAATCAAGATAGCCACCATGCTGGGCATTCCTCATGCACTGATGCATGAGGGACTGGTTATTGCCATCATGGTTCTTTTTAAGGTTTGTGAGACAACTTTCATGGTCAAGATGCTTATTCTTTTCAAGGGAGAAAATTTCCAAATTGCCTTGGAAAATCAGTGTTGTTTTTGCTGTGGTTAAGCCTAGAAGGACTCAGACTTTTTATTGTACTAAGTAGTTACCTGGTCCACTTCAAGGCAGACTCGACGCCAGCATTTCCATCAACTCAATAGGGAGTGAACCTTGGTTATAAAGAATTGGTACTGGTGGAAGGCAGTTTTATTTTTCAGTTTGATCCTCACAGAGATTATCGGAATGAAATGTACTCTCCTTCTCTGTCTGGTTTTTTTTTTTTTTTCAATTTATTTCTACTGCAAAGAAGAGCAAATAAACCAAATTGCCCCAGCTGCCAATTCACGATCGCTGCCAATTCAAGACCTTTTCCATAGTGCTTTCTTGCAGCAGTTTTTCACTTTCCAGCTAGTTTAATGCATCTGTATGTGACTTCTGGCATTCTCATGAGCTGCTGAGTATATGCTGTGATATTCAGGTCTTGCTGTTCTTGTAACCACTGCAATTCTTAACAGCACTTTCAGATCAGAGTGGGAGATCAAAGCACTTTGCTTGGATCTGTGAATTCCAGACGATATTCCTCATCCAAATGGGCATCTCAGGCCAAAATTGCCTTCAGATGAGCAGTCCTGTGATGTAACATATTCTATGTGATTTGAAGGCATCTTTATTTAATAGCTATTTCTTAACAGTATTTTTTTACACCAGCAATATTCCTCATACCCTGTGCTGGTATATCAGGCATATCATCTGTGTTAGTGTGAACCTTGAGTAAATGGACCTATTTTAAATTTGCAGGGAGACACCTCAGATGACCAGATTTATTCCCTGTTTGTATTCATTAGTTGCTAGTGCATCTCCTATTGTAACTCACCATCAGGAAACTTGATGATAGCTGGTTGCCATATGCAAGGTTCAGTCTGTCTATGATCCTCTTAAAGAGACTGGTGGCTGCAATTTACTATCACAGTTTTAACTATGCTGTGAAGATAACATAGAAAATTTAGGAGCTATAACATTCCCAGCATTTTATGTGCAGCTTTATATTTGTTATCACTTTTTACCACATGAACTACATCATTGTCAGGGTCTTTTCACTGTAAATCTAGTTGTCTACAATTTTACTTGGTGTTTCTGAGAAATGCTGATAAATGCTAATTAGAATACAAATTACTATTACTTATATCTATATAAAAAAGGTTGCCATAATTTACATATTTGACAGAAACCTTTTGTTTTCAGCTCCATTTTATGCTGCCTAAATTTGAAGAAACATATGCTAGATCCTACTGTTTTTCAGCAAACTTCATTTATTACTTGCTTGTACATGGCTATAAATTTGATGCAGAAACTTGGCCCCAGATACATTTCCAAAAAGAGGTGAGTAATAATTATTTCTTCTTACTATCATTATTTTAATCCAAAGAAGTTTAGAAGGAGACGGAAGCTGCAGTATCCTACAAAAACATAATGGTTGTAGACAGCCTTTGTAGATGACTGACAAATATTTGCCATAAAACAAAGCCACTTTTCAAGCTTTCCTACCAATTCCAGGCTGCTTACTGGGGTTGCAGCATTACTTGGTGACCCACTGTGTGATCTTGGCAGCTACATCAGGAAGTGCCCTTCAGTGTTCTGTGTGGCTGTCCTTTGTTCTCTGCTGCTGTACAAGCTTACTGTAAATCACTCTCCCAGATTGTAATCTCCATACAGAACTTGGCAGTGCTTGTGTGTAAGAACAACAAATGAATAGGCCATGACTCCAGAGTTTGTGAGGGCAGGACACTTTTATCTGTATTTCAGGTTGGCAACAGCAGTATAGCATGGTCCCTTGGCTACATGCTAAGCCTCACCAACATGATTCCAGCAGAAAGGAAGCTGATCCAGCTACCTCTGAAACCTTCTTTGTTCGTTGGGCTCCTCTTCCTCTTCGCAACCATGGCACTGTTATGCCTTCTCTTCCTTGTTTACTTGTGCGTTGCATCATGTAACCAAAAGAACATCAGTCATGTTGAACAAGTATTTACTCCAGAATTTACTCCAGAATGAACTTTTTAAGGACAAAACAAAAATCTTTGTAATGCTATTAATGCTATTTTTTTTTTTTGAAAGCTGAAGGAGAAATAAAGACAGACAAAAGATCTTGAGGACCCTAAATATAAATACAGGAGACAACAGACATGAAGGCACCTGTAATATGGTGACCTGGAGGGCTTTTGAAAGAACGTGGCAATTGTTGCTGTAAAACTGCTTTTTCCAGAGTTCAGCACAGATAAATGTGGGCAGATAGTCTACTTTGCTCAATAAAGGATAATTCGTCTTCTCCTGACAGGTAGGTGTAGATTTCTGTCCATGAACTCTAGGTTAACTAGCCAATTCTAGTGGTGATGGATTTGGTGGCTCTTGATCAAAGATAAATTAAAGAAAAAAGTCGGTCTGATATGTCGGAGAATGTGGTAGCTATTCCCATTTGTAGTGCTGACATTAAGCAAACAAACAGAACAGCTGGAAAGAATTTTCTTTGCTGTTCCAAGTGGATTGAGGTCCACTACACAAAAGTGTAATAAACTTCTGACACTCCTCAGGACTTTCAAGTCCATCTTGAAACTGAGCTGTATTTTTAGTACAGTAGAGATTACAGAGAGTCTAAGATGTGCTTTGAAGGTGGAACAAAATCCCTCCACACTTCAGTAGTGCAACCTTATTGTAAAGATGCCATAGTTACCTCCAGCATGCAACATCTTTTGATTAAGGTTTTTTTTCTCTTTTAAAATTGCCTTTCACAGGAACTTTCTATAATGTCTCATGCTGAAACATTGACCTGTATTCCCTGTGTTTTGCTGATCTCAGACAGTCATAGTCATTACAGACACATGTTTGTACATGTTATTTTGACTATATGGATAGAGTCTTGGACATGGAACCTCTGAAGCATTAACATGAGCCTGTCAAAACTGAAATTAAGAAGGAGGATGCACCACAGAGGTGTATCCTCCAATGCAGGAGGATCTGCACCACGACTGCAGGCAAAACTGGGGCCAGCTGAGCGTTCTGTGTATTGGGTTCAGGAATCCACCACACGGATCCAGACCTGCTGCCACTGTCCTAAGCTGTAGTGCCCCAACCAGTTTTTTTACTGCCCCAGCCTTGGCGCCGCTGCTGCATCATTGCGGTCCAACAGGCAAATGCTTCTGTCAAGGACATTAGCTCCAAAGCTTTCCTGGCAGTACCACAGCTTTTATGCCCTGAAGAGCTGACCTCCTTCAAAGACCAGGTATTCTGTACCAAAACTTTTATTCTTACAGCAGACTACAACTTTGCTTGCTGCCCAAAGAGTACCCAAGAGGGATACTTCAGGATCAGTACCCCTTTTTCCTGCATGTGTTTTGCATAGCTTCTGAATAGAACCTTGAAGAGGCCTCCTGCCCTTGAGCTTGCACAGAGCTTCCTGTAATTTCTCCTGTTATTGCCTTGATATAGTCCAAAAGGCTGGGAGAGGAACACATCTTTGGAGTGAAGGGAGGATTGTGTTGTTCAAGACCTGCAAGAGGAGAAATGAGCATTTCTGCTTTACTTCCCAGCTTCTACCCTCTCCTCTTGCTCAGACTGAGCACCTAGAGCGCTCTGCTCACGCAGTGTGTTTTCCCCAAACCTCCTCCCAGCAGCTTCTGGAAATCACTCAATACATTTCTCTATCCTCCCAGGATCGTTTCTCTCCATGTGCAGGTTCCCATGCTTGCACCTTGGCTCTCTGACATGCGCCCTAACGTTGCAATGAGCCTTTCAGTAAGAGGAAGTATAAACTAAAAGGGAGGTTGCCATATTCAGGATAGTGCCGCTACCTAAAGCTTGTCAGGAGGCCTCTTGTGTCGTAGTTCCCATGCAGGTTTGTTGCATATAAAGGATCTACTTGCTCATTCATACACTCAAAATTCAAGCTGACCTTGAATTATGAATTCATATTTCACATGTATTTTTTCTCCCTGCTTTACCTATTCTGCATATTGATTAGGTTATGAGATCAGAGAAAAACAGGGCTATTATTTTTGCTGGTGAATAATATTTTCAATTTGTATCTTTTCTTTCTCTGTTATGTTACTGCTTCCATTTCCTGTTCACAGGCTGCTAAATGATTTAAAAGGAACTAAATGGGCTTTGCAGAGGGTTGGCAGTGAGACCTCTGGTCCTTCCTTGTCAGGACACTGCCGTGACCTGCCACTCTCATGGAGCAGCAGTACTTAAAGCAAGGCAGAAGGTATCACAGGGTGCTGGCTCTGTGGTGGCCAGGTTACATCTGATAAAATATAAAAATCTAGTTCAGAGTGCACTGGACATGAGAGGCTGGTATAAAATAAAAGCCTTATCTTCTGTGTGCTGGCTCTGGAAATGCAATTAAAGGGTAAGAGGGGAGCTGGTAGGCAGTTACAGGAAGATGTGGATGTGAGCACTAAAAGGTTTTCTTCAGCTGCCAATATGTGCTGATAATGCTATTATGGGATATTTATCTACTCTACAAAGCCTTTGTTTTCTTTGAAAATGGCAGTGCTGTTCAGACATTGGGTTTTGCAAAAACTAAAGAATAGGTTTATGCATAGAGACAGCATTGTTAGACTTGTGTGAGTTGGCAGCTAAAGCCCAAATAAAGTTGTTCAGATTTTGGACTTCCAGATCTGTTGGGATCATCAAATAGAGGATAGATAGAGCCATCCTCTGTTCAAACAAAGCTCTGTCTCTGCCCGTCACCTCCTGCTTTCCTCTTCCACAAGTTCCCCCTTCTCATGATTTATATCCTCTCCTCGCGCAGTGTCCCTGTGACACGGGTCCTGGCTCAGAGCTCAGCCCTCCGTCTCCCGCTGTGTGAGGCAGGAAGGCTGAAGCTGTTGGGCTTCCCCCGCCGCAGCATCGCCTCAGCCTCCCGCTGCTTCCGGAGGCAGAACCTCAGTAACATGTGTAACACTGTCCCACACGGACATCCAGAACAGAACAATTCTGTTGGGAAAGTCAGGAAAGGGTAGAGGGGTTGGGAATAAACTATGGCTTATTTATCCTTTCACACTCTTTATTGTCTGCTTAGGAAAACAAATAAACTGTGAAAAACTGTCAAGTGTATTTTTTTTTTCATCTTCTGCCCCATGCTGATATTTTCATCCTGGCAGGCAAGTTATTCTTGGTAGAGGGTACACATTTCTGAAATGGTTTTTTGGGTGATGGAAATTTGCAAGCTGTGAAAACTAATCCTGGGAGGTTTTGAAACCACCAGAATCCATATTTTCCACAAAGAAAACCTGGTGATTAAAAACAAGTCCCTATTTTACTTTATCTATTTATAATGGAATCCATATAAAGCCAGTGAGTGTGTGTAGGTCCAGTTTTAACACAGCTTCTACCTTTGAAGATAATTAACATCCCATTCAGGGGCTCAGATGCTCTTTAGGGCAGTTTCATCACCGTAATATAGATCTGGAAAGGATGTGCTACAGAAAGCAAATTTCCAGGCACCAAAGGCAGTTGAATGAGAGGCAGATTGGTTTGCAAAAGTTTTGGGAGGATAGACAGGGAGCGTATGGACAGGACCATGTAACACAGAGAAAGCCTCAGCTATGGAGAAGCCGCAAAATCAGAAGAAACAAGTAAATTAAATACACATGGACATTCTGGAAGGGCAGCACAAGTGACATGAACTCCCCATAAAGCAGTGTGCAAAGTTGGTAGAACAAGGGCTGACTTGCACTGCACACTGTAATTCAACACTGATGAGGAAAGCGAAAGGATAAAAGAGGGGAAATGAAGAGGATGGGGAAGGGGGCAAGCGGAACAGCGCTGGGCATTACAGTCAGCCACATCACAAGGAGGGGGATCCCTCCGGAGAGCAGTTGGCCAGATCCCCCCTCAGCCCCTCTTCTCCAGGCTGAACAGGCCCAGCGCTCAGCATTCCCTGGCGGGAGGGATGCTCCCGTCGCTGCAACACCTGCATAGCCTTTCAGCTGCTGCACGGCGCGCTTTGCTGTGTTGCTTTTATAGGGGCATCACGGGAGAATGTTTTGAAGCCTTGTTCTTCAATTTTTTCACACAAAGCGGTGCTCCCACTTGGTGGCAAAAGCCCGGGCGGGTGAACATTGAGGTGCTCGTGTCACTCCGGAGGGAGCCTTAGTATCCTGAGCGCTTGCACACAACATCGGAATGAATTAGACACCTGCCCTGTTTTCCTGCAGAGGCAGCAGGAACCCGGCGGCAGCCCCACGGCCCCGCGCGCGGCCCCGCGGCCACCACGCACGGGACACGGCCCCGCCGCGCCCCACGGCCCCGCGGCCACCACGCACGGCACGCGGCCCCGCCGCGCATGCGCCTCGCGGCTGGCAGCTCCCCCGCCCCCCGCACCGCCTGCTGCCAACACGCATGCGCAAAGCGAGGGCGCACGCGCTTGGAGAGGCACCTCCTCGCCCTCTTGGTTCTGCGCAAGCGCGTTGGAGGCGGCGGCGCCCCGCCTGGGCCCTTGCGCACGCGCAGTGCCGGCCCGCCGCCCGCTTCCGGGCGCCGCCGAGGCGCCGCCCTCCTCTTTGCTCGCCGGCCGCCATCATGGTGCGTGTGTGAGGCCGCGGCCTGCGCGCCCGC